TCCCGCCACCCCGGGGGCCGCCGTGTGGCTGCGGGAGGGGAGGGCAGACTGCGGCGGGCACAGGGCGGGGCTTGGGCGGCGGCGGGGCCTGCGGGCGCCCTCTGCGGGGGGTGGGGGCTGTGGCTCTCGCCTGCATCTCAGGCCCCTGTCTGCAGGGAGGACCCGGTTTGCATCCTCCCTGCCCAGTGGGTGCCCAGGCAGGCGGCCAGGCCCGGCGGGCACCACGGGGACCTCCGGCCGGCCTGTGGCTCCCCGTGAGGCCTGCCCGCGAGGCCACGCCGGCCTCCTGGGCCAGTGCCTCCCGGGAACCTGGCGACGCCGAGGGCACCTCACCCTCGGTGAGAACCGGCGCCGGCTCACGGGCGCCTCAGGTTTTGCCCTGAATCACTCGCACCGAGTGGCAGAGGCTGTGAGGCCCGCATCCTCCCTCATGCTCCCCCCTTCCCCTCACCCCCCTCTGCCGGACTCCTGCTCCGGTCGCCAGGTAAACGGAGCCCTCCCGGCCCGCGGACTCCGTGACGGCGTGGCCGGCCTGGAGCCTGGCGGCCCCTCGGCCTCGGGGCGCGTGGCGCTGGGACACGGCAGAGCCGCCCTCTCACCGTCTTCACAGTGAGGTGCTCGCTGCCTTTGGGAGCTGCTGCTCGGGGGCCGCGTTCCAGAGGCCGGGGCAGCTCCTGGAGGGGAGCAGAGACCGGAGCGCGCGAGGCATGCACTGTGTGTGACTAATCCCACCGTGTGTCATGCTAAGCGCACACCACGTGGCCACACGGAGCTGACATATTTTTAGCCCGTTACTCACCGCCCCCACGGGGCAGGCGTTTCCGCAGTGAGCCGGGCTCGGGGGCCCACGGGGCGTGTGTGTGTGTGTGTGTGTGTGTGTGTGTGTGCGCGCGCCCAGAACCAGGCTGACAGACAGACCGGAGTTTCCCACCGAGTGTCACCGAGAGGAAATGAGGGGCTTACAGTAATCCGTGGAGGTGACACATTCCCATCCAGAGACCAGCCCCTCCCCGCGGGGGCCTGCCCGGGGCGGAGGAGGGGAGTGACCGGCACCACGTGGAAACCCCTGGGAGGGAGCGGCCCGCCCCTGCTGGGAAGCCTGTGCCGCCTCTGGGTGTTTTCAGGGCCGCTCCCCTGATGGCCCCTCACCGCCCCCCCCCCCCCCCCAGCCTTCCCTCAGCCAGCAGCCAGCCGCAGTCCCTGTGCCCCACCCCTGTCTCCGGGGTAGCTGCGTTCTGTCTGGTTTAGTTCGCGGCGTGTCCCTGGGGCCAGGACCTCTGTGCTGGGGGGGCCGGGGGTTCAGCCGAGGCCCCTGAGGTCCCAGGGCTGCCGGCCAGCATGGCAGGCTGAGGGTGGACATGGAGCTCTGGCCGGGGCAGCGGGTGGGCAGGGGGCCCTTCCCCCGGCCTCCGGCCAGCCTGGCCGCTGAGCGCTGCCGCGGGGAAGATGCCCGCTTCTGCCTCCCGGCGCGCCCCGAGGCGAGGAGAGGGCCGCGCTGTCATGGCAGCAGGACACGGAGCCTCACGCACCTCGGGGCGCGCCCAGGGCCGCCGCGAGGCAGTGGTCCGGGCCTGCGGCGGGCGCTGCCGTCCGCCCTCCGCACGGCCAGGCACGGGGTGGGGGAACAGCAATTGGGCCCGGTTCTCTGCTCCGAGCCGGTTGGGGGAGGCCCTTGTCAGCCGTGGGCTCGGGGGCCCTTTGGGGAGAAGGTTTTCCAGGCAGACACCCCGCGGGGGGAGGGCTGGAGGTGGAGTGCCGTGACCTGCCACAGGCACCGGTGACAGACCCCCGCCAGGGGGGCCTGGAGGGAGCGGAGCCGTGGGGAGCACGGGGAGGGCTCCTGGGCGAAGGCTGCCGCTGGGCCTGCCGGGGCCGTGCCGGCTCCTGGTCTACGGGGGAGGTCAGTGTGTCCGTGCGTCCTGGCTGGATGCGCCGTGGGTCCCAGCGACTCCCTTGAGGCCGAAACTGGGTTGCGCTTCGGCCCTGTGAGGTCTCCACCTGGGCCTGGCCCCCATTCCTGCTGCAGATGCCTTCCAGGCTCTGTCACTGGGCCACCGCCTGGGGGGCGTCCCCGCCTCAGCCGGCTCCGCCCTGGGCTGCCCTGTGGTGGGTGCCCTGAGAGCGGTCTGAGCACAGGTCCCCGAGGGCAGCGCGGCTCTGCTGGCCGTGGCGTGTGAGCGGGGCGCCGAGGGGCCAATGCAGCCCCTGCCCACGCGCAAGCCCCCCCCCCCCTCCTCGCTCTCCTGTCCCTGTGCCCACTCCTCCCTGCCCCCTCCCGTCCTCATGGGGCGGAACTTGGAGACTCGGGGCTGCGACCATTACGTACGGGAAGCGTGACTCACTCCCCATGTTTCCCTTTCACTGATGGAGCCGCCTCTAAAAACGGAATTTGTTTAAAAGCTGCTTTTTTTCCCCCAAAGGGAGAGGAAGAGAGAAACATCAGTGAGGAGAGAGAATCGCCCATCCGCTGCCTCCTGGAGTCGCTGGGACCCCGTGCCTGCTCGGTGCCCCCACCGGGATCGAGCCCGCACCCGCTCCCCCGAGCAGGCGGCGGGAACGCAGGGGGCTGAGGCCCGTGTGCGCCGCGGGCGGCTCGCTGGTTCCCGCACGCGGTGCTCTGTGCCCGCGGGGACCAGCGTCCTCAGCACTGCAGGTCCCCGCTCCTCAGGGTTCCCCCAGGGGTTCCCCCGCCGAGCAGGACTGACAGTTACCGGAAGCACTCAGCGGACCCTGCGCCCCGTGGGCAGAGGATGGAGGGGCCGCCAATGGACGGGTGTGTGTGTGTGTGTGTGTGTGTGTGTGTGTGTGTGTCTGTCTCCTTTCTTGTTGTGGTTTGTAGATCTTGTCGGAGGCGACCTCGGTGCCGAGCTCGTTCGGTGACCTGTCACCTGTGGTTTCTGGGCCTCCACCCCGAGGTGTGTGGGAGGCCTGGTCCCCGACAGCCGGTGTCCTGTGCGCCCGGAGGTCCCGCCTCCTTTGGGGCAAATTCCCGCCCCTCTGACTTCCCGAGGGCACCTTGACACGCTCCCACCCGTGGACGCGCCAGGGACGCCCGTGCATTCTGCGGCCTGGACGGTGCAGACGCCCCTCTGCCTGCCCGGTGGGAGTGAGCGCCTGCAGGGGCCTCGGTGCAGAGGCTGCCAGTGACTCTCAGCGTGGATGTTTCTGCTCCCTTCCTCTCCGACATCAATAAAACATCTTTTAAAAGCGGGAAGGGCAGCACCTGTGGGCTGGGTGTGGCCGTGTCGCCGTTGGCTGTTGGGCTGTTTAAGGCGCTCGGGTTCCCTGGCGAACCCCGCGGAGGGCCGCGTGTGGGGCTGTGGGGAAAGCCGGCTCCCCTGAGGCGTGGCCCAGGCCTGACCTTGTCTGGGCTCAGGTGCAAGTGCGGTCAGGCCTTCAGGCCTGCGGGGGTGGAGGGTGCCGAGAGGCTGGGCTTGGTGTCATTCTATCGGCTCCGGGCATGGGGGGGGGGTGGGGAGGGTGGTGGGGAGGGCAGGAGCCCTGGTGCAGGGTCACATGACCTGCTGGGCTTCCAAAGCGGACGTACCATGGCCGCTTGCTGGCTGCCCGGGTCCCGGGAGGCGACACGTGAGCACGGAGAGAGCCGTGCTTCTAAGTTCCTGTCCCTGGCCCCAGCCAGCACGCACGCGTGTTGTGCAATCTGTGTGTGTGTGTCATGTGTGAAGTCACGGCAGGGGGCCTGAGGCTCCCAGACGGAGCTCCGGGGCCAGTACCCTGGCTCTCCCGGAGAGAAAACAAAACAAACCGAGGAGCCGGCTGATAGCGGGCGGAGTGTTGCCATGGACGCAGGTGTTGTCTAATGAGGAGGATTGAGAAACAACAGACTCTGGAGTGAAGACTAAAAGCATTCTATTATCGGGGGGAATTTTCCTAAAATCACTTTTATTTTTTAAAAATATATCTTTATTGGTTTCAGAGAGGAAGGGTGGGAGAGAGAGAGAACCATCAGTGAAGAGAGAATCATTGATTGGCTGCCTCCTGCACGCCCCCCACTGGGGATGGAGCCTGCAGCCTGGGCCTGTTCCCTGGCGGTATCGAACCCGGGACCCTTCCGTCCGCGGCCGGCGCTCTGCCCGCCGAGCCACATGGACGCTGGAAGCACAGCCCGCTGCTCTTAACGGTCCGGGTGACGTTCTCTGCTTCCTTCGGGCGCACAGGGCAGTCGGGGGTGAATGGTGGGGCCGCCTCGGCCCTCTTCTTGCCGTCGCTCACGGCTCCCGCCGTCCCGCCTGCTGTGCAGGGAGGGGACAGGCGAGCGGACGCGAGCAGGGGGCGAGCCTCAGCAGGCGCTGGCTGGCTGTGGAGATGCTGTCTGTGGGGGACAGGGGGCGGGTCTAGACTAGGGGTGCTGAGTCTCAGTTTCCCCAAGATGGGTATGAGGCCGTGCTTATGGGGCCCTGGACAGCGGTGAGGCCTGGAGCCATGGAGGAGCGGGTGGCCGCGATGGAGGGCAGGCTCCGTGTGACCCCTCTCCTCGCCCCTGGCGCCGCGGCCTCGGGGTGAGTGTGGGGGATGGGATCGCTCCTGTGCAGCACCGGCTCTGGGAGCCGCTCCTGTTCCCGCCGCGGAGCCAGGCGGGCAGCCCAGCTGGAGGAGCTGATGGCCGTCCGCACCCCCCTGTGCGGACCAGGGGCGGGGTGGGGCGGGGCGGGCGGTGTGGGGGCTGCACGTGCCTCGGGGTCGGGTTGGGAGCTGAGAGGGACTCAGACACTCGGCCTGGAAGCAGCGAGCACGGCGAGGCTCCTGGGGGCCCTGCAGGACACGGCTGTGAGCGCGGGCGGAGGGGCGGGTGGTGGCGGAGGGACAGGCGGTGGACGGGGACGAGGCGGGCAGGGTCTTGGTGGTGGGTGGGCAGAGGAAATGCAACATTTCCGGGGTTTGGGCAGAGCCAGGAGGACCAGGGAGGGGGCACCGGGTACGGGTCTGGCCGGGGGAGGGTGGCCCGGCCGTACCCGCGTGACATGACCTCTGCCTTGCAGTGCTCGCGCCTCCGGCGCCGCCGCCGCCCCCGCTCCAGGGCTATGCCTTCAAGCCGCCGCCCAGGCCCGACTTCGGGACCTCGGGGAGGACCATCAAGCTGCAGGCCAACTTCTTCGAGATGGACATTCCGAAAATCGACATCTACCACTACGAGCTGGACATCAAGCCGGAGAAGTGCCCGCGGAGAGTGAACAGGTGCCTGTCCTCACAGCCGCGGGCGGGCGGGCGGGCGGGCGGGCGGGCCTCAGCGCGGCCCCCGGAAGCTCCGTCCCGTCGCGCTGATGTTGTGAAAAGCGTTTTGTGTCCGGTGCAGTGAGTGTGCCTCTGGGCGCGCTTCCGCAGCTTTGACAGATGCGCACAGATGCCCACCCCAGAGCGGGCCCGCACCCTGACCGCGCCTGCCCTCTGAGGTCCTGTCCGGTCCGGGTGGCCGGGGGTCAGCCCGTGTCCATCCTCTCACCGCCTGTGTTCCTGAGGTGACCAGCATCCTCATATTAAGAGCTAGTTTTCCTGCTCAGGACCATCTCACATGAATATTTCCTATTTCATTCATTTACTTATTGTTTTTTTTTAATCCTCACCTGAGGATGTTTTTTGATCTTAGAGAGAGCGGAAGAGAGACAGAGAGAAATCTTGATGTGAGAAAGACATGATTGGCACCTGCAGGAGCCCAGCCACGGCCTGGGCCGGGGAGGAACCTGCCCCCGAGGCACGTGCCCTCGACCGGAATAGAACCCGGGACCCTTTGCTCTGCAGGTGGAGGCTCTACCCGCTGAGCCACATGGGCCAGGGCCGGCTCCTCATTAGTCACTCCTCCTGTCAGGGGCTCGGCGCCCGGCCTTGCCCGAAGCTGCTGTGAACCAGCCTGTTTGTGACCAGCACGTCCGCATCTCCCTCAGGCGCATCTCAAGGAGGGGGCTGCGGGCGCAGGGTGGCTGTGGCTGTGGCGCCTCCCAGCCCCGCTCCACGCCCTGTCGGCAGGCGCTGGCCAGCCCGGTGTTCCCCGGTCTCAGGGCTGCTGGTCCTTCATCCCCGGGTTGGAGGGTTTGGTGTATTCTGGGCGCAGGCGGAACTTAGTGCAGTGCGCAGAGCGTGCCACATCTCCGAGGCGCAGCTGGCAAACTGTGAAAGTGGTTACCGCGTGGAACAGAGACCCTCCTGGCTTACTCTGTTTTTTACAAGATGGCAGTGTGGCTTGTGTGTGGAGCCTGGTCCCTCTGGAAGTGATGGTGGTGTACGGTGTGAGGCGAGGGTCATTAGAGGGTGTTTCTCTGCTCTGACTGGCCTGTCCCTCCGGGACGTCGGTGTGTGTTCATGAATGACCAGAGAGCCAGGCGTCCTGTCCCTGGATCGCCTAATCTGGCGTGAGTCTGGGGGGTTGCCACGGGCCCCCACACGTACGTTCCCTTTCCCTTCGCAGTTATCCTCACGTGTGGCTGGAGGCCTCGCTTTATCTGTCCTGCGGTGTGTTATGTGTTATGTAAGCTGTGTTTTAACGTTCCATTTCTCTAGAAGGGGTGGGAGTGGCTGCTAGTGAGTATGGGATTTGGGGTGACGAGGGTGTTAAAGACTTACGTGGTGCCGATGCTGCCGAACTCTGATCTGCTAAAGCCACCAAATTCTACACTTTCAAACATGTTCTTATTGATTTCAGAGAGGAAGGAAGAGGGAGGGAGTGAGATGGAAACATCCATGATGCGAGAGAACCATGGATCAGCTGCCTCCTGCGCGCCCCCTCCAGGGATGGAGCCTACCACCTGGGCCTGGGCCCTGACCAGGAATCAAACCGTGACCTCAGCCAGAGCTGCGCTGGCCGGGCACAGTTTGGCTTCTTCATCAGCTATTAGGAGACTCCATTCTTTCCATTTCTTCCTGTCTTAGTTGTGACGGTTTGTGTCTGCTAAGGAGTAATTGTTGGAGGTTTGGGGCTTGTGGGTTTGTGTGAGTCCGGGCAGGGCTCTGGCTGGCGGAGGGCCCCTGATGGTCCGGGCAGTGGGTCCTATTGAGCTGCCAGCGTTATCTGGTGAGGAGCGTTGGCGATGATGAAAGCAGGGTGTCTCCCGGTTGCCACAGCTGTTGTTATGCCCAGTGGGTTTGAAGGTTCGCACCAGAAGTTCCCTGGAGTCAGACAGAGAGCAGCCAAGGCGGGGCCTCTGGCCGCCACCAGCCATGTCCGTGGGGCGCGAGCCTGGGAGTTGCCCCTGGTTAGAGTGTGAGCTTCGGGGTTTCTTATTTTACTACTAGTGGCCCGGTGAGCAGAATTCGTGCACATTAAAAAGAAATAATTAGAGGAAATAATTTAATATTGCTATTTGCCCTTTCTCTGTAATAGAAGTGTCAGAGATGGAAAAAAATTAGTGAAGTGTATATGAAATCTCCCTCCTGTCAGTCTGGGGTGCACCATGGGACCCAGAGTCAGGTCCCCGCCCACCCACACACACTTCAAAATCACACGAGACCCAGACCCGGCTGCCCCACCCCCATCGAGGCCCGCAGGGTCGGGCCCGGCCTCCGGTCCCCGGCCCTGCCTGAGGGCGACGACATGTGCATGTTAGCTCTCCATTGTACAGGATCGATTCCGGTGAGTTTGGCCTCCATCACAGGCAGAATAGAACGGGAACGTGGGCACTCGTCTGGGCAGCTCCTCTCGGGGGAGGGGCCCTGGCCCGGGTGAGGTGGGAGGAGCCAGACGGTGGGGCTGCGGTCAGCACTGGCCGAGGAGGCTGAGGTGGAATGGCTGGAGGCCAGCAAGGACTGGTTCAGGCTGGGCTGTCTGTCCCAGGGGGAGACGCACTGTGCTCCCTACGGGCAATGTGCCGGAGACCCAGATACATGCCTGGAGGCTGCACCACGGCCGGGAGAACGGTGCCCCATCAGGTGCCCAGCTGTCATGGGGGAGCAGAGTCCTTTGACCAGCAGTTCCCTAAGCCTCTGTGCCGGGCTGGCTGCCGGGCCTGGAATTCCGGTGCGGCCTGCCAGCAGCCGGCGTGAGGGGAGCAGGCCCAGGGCACGCTGTCCCACGGGCACAGCCTGTTTTTTGCTTTGAGAACCTGGAGCCGCTGCCTCACCTCCTCTCGTGCTGCTTCTGTCGCAAATGCAATGCCCACGGCCGGTCTCCTGGCTCTGGGCTCTGCCAGCTCTCCGCCCGCCCGGCCTGGCTGTGATGTGCCGTGTGTGGGTGGGTGTTTTGCGTGTCCCCAGGCGTGCTTGCCTTCTATCCGTAAGTGACGGTGTCTCCGAAGGGACAGCCTGCTGCTCTGTGGTGGCTCCTTTCCTCACAGCTGAGACTTCTGTGCGAGATGCCTGGTCTACCCAGCTTCTCCGAGGTCGGTCTCTCGTTTCCCTTCAGGTCTGTGCCCTGGCTTTTACTTAGTGTGTGATTTGTGGCCGTAATTACCTTCGCCGTAAACCCGACCTTTCACTCCTGGCGTCTGCCCAACCCCGACACGTGTTGTGGATTCCTTTTGTTAACACCAGCTTCTCACCGTGTTTATCGGGGAGATTGGCCCGATCACCTGGTCGTTGTCAAGATAAAAGCTTGGCTGGCCTTGGCCGCGGTTGGCTCGGTGAGAGAGCGTTGACCTATGAGCCAGGAGGTCAGGGCGTGATCCCACTCAGGGCACAGGCCCGGGTTACAGACTCCATCCCCAGTGTGCATGCCGGAGGCAGCAATCGGTGATTCTCTCATCGTTGGTGTTTCTCCCTCTCCCTCTTCTCGACGTCAATAAAGTGCATTTTTAAAAGATAAAATTCTGCTGGCCTCAGGGGATGGTCGGGCGACACCCTTTCCATTCGTTCACGGAGAGCTTGGGTTTGGGGGCGATCTGTTCTCCAGGGGGTGGGATTCCCAGCGGAGCCACCGGACCTGGAGGCCATGTGAGGTCTTGGCGTGAAGACGGGACCCTGAGGTACGGGGAGCAGTGGCCAGAGCGCCCTGGAGGCGCAGGGGGGCTGCGCCGGGCCCGGCCGCTGGCCGGGGACGGGGTGGCGTTGGCGGAGGCCTCACTTGGCGCTGCCCGGGCTGTGGTCTCCGGGTGGAGGCGGGGCCGGGAGGCCTGGTGTGCTCCTGGTGGCCGTCCAGGAGATGGAGAGCTTGTCCGCCCCGGACTCCCGTGGTCCCGGGATCGGCACCGTGCACGGCCGGCTGGGCAAGGCCAGGCGGGGCTGACCGCATTTCCGGGAGAGGAGTGGGGCCTTGGTTATTGCTTCCTGGCGGGCAGGGCTGCTCAGGCCCCTGCGGGGGGTGGGGGTGGGGGACGCCAGGCTCTAGGTCCTCATCCGCCCCCGCCCCCGCCCCCGCCCCCGCTCCGCCCCGCCCTGCTTTCAGCACTAGGCTCTCCCTTGGCCACAACGGGAGCTGGGGCTGCTGGTACCTGATGGGCAGAGCTTGGGGGCCTCCTGCCGGCCAATGCTGTCCACCTTCCCGCGTCTGCCTGGAGGGCCTCAGGTCAGGCAGGGTCATGGCCGTCCGGCCTACTTGCCTAGGCAGTGTGTGAGCGCGCTGGGTGGCGGTGAGTTGAATCGAGGTGCCTCCCGCCGCCCTGAGGTGCTGGGGGACAGGCCAGCGTGGCCCTGCTCCTCCTGCCCCCCTTGCCTGGGGCCGGGGTCGGGCCTCCGCTGGCCTGGGTGCTTGGGCCCTGCCTGGGAGCAGCCCCTGTGAACCGGGTCTGCTGCTGTAAGGCCCAGGACAGATGGCACCACGTCAGCCGTCAATGGGCACCCACGGGTGCTTGTGGCCTGTAGGTGCGGGTGGTGCCTGACCCGATACCCAGGCGGACTCGGGGTCTGAGTGAAATTCAGGGTCCTGGTCCGGGAGCCGGTGGAGGGGCCGTGCCGGGATGGGAGAGGGGGCCGCCCGCGCCTCCTCCCTCTGATGGACAACGGCGCGAACCCCACCCCGCAGGGAGATCGTGGAGCACATGGTGCAGCACTTTAAGACCCAGATCTTCGGGGACCGGAAGCCCGTGTTCGACGGGAGGAAGAACCTCTACACGGCCATGCCCCTGCCCATCGGGCGGGAGAAGGTGAGTGGCTGGGCCTGGGCCCATGCCCGGCTGCATGGAACCACCCCTGGGTAGCGAGCTGGCCGTCAGGACCCTCCCAGAGCCCGGAGACAAGAGTGGAAACCACTGGGCTTCCCAGTGTGAGACAGGCCCCGGGGGCAGGTGCCGCCGACTTCTGCGTTAGCCAGCGGTCCACTGAGGGGCAGCCTCGCGGGTCCCGGAGGCCTGTGTGCCGGGCCAGGGCTCTGCCTGAAGTGCCAGGTTCCTGCCGAGAAGCTGGCACTTGGCAGGTGGGTCAGCACAGGTTGCTCGGCGTCTGGCAGGAGAGCTGGCGGCCGGAGGCCCACTTGCCCTTCAGCGGAGGGACCGTGGCTCCGGGGCTGACGCAGGGGCAGCCCCTCAGCCCGGCCGTGCGCCCTCGGCTGCCGTGTGGCTTCGGGTCTCTGACCCCCTGAGGAGGGGGAGCTCTGCACGGCGGGGCGGGGGCACAGGCGGGCGGCTCCGGCTCTGCGGGGGCCGATAGGACAGGCGTTGGCCAGGCCGCTGAGTGATAAGGCTCCGCTGAAGGCTGGCGGCCCGGATAGCATGGGCACTGCCTGGCATGGGCTGATGGCACTGAAGTCCCCGGGGGGGGGGGTGCCAGGACCCTGCCTGCCAGCGTGGGAGGTGCGCCCCCTGCAGATTGGCGCACAGCTTTGCGTTGAGTGTGGTGCTCGTTTCTGTAGAGGCTGTGTGAGGGAGAGAGCCATGCGTGCTCATCCTGCGCCCGGGGCTCGGAGGCTTTCCTGGGAGGGGCGGGGAGGGGTCCCCTCCCTGTTTAAATGGGAGACACGTCCCCGCAGAAGCTGACAGCACAGCCTGGCCAGATCCTCTCTTTAAAAAAGCATCCTTTATAAAAAGAGCCCAGTGACTGAAACAGTGCGACGAGCAGAACGACCATGGCCCCTCACCCAGGCAGGCCCGCCCACCCAGGGAGTGGTTCGGGGTGATCAGTCAGGCAGGCCAGGGGTTAGGAGCAATCGGCAGGCAGGTGAGCAGTTAGGAGCCAGGAGGCCCAGATTGCGAGAAGGATATCCGACTGCCGGTTAGGCCCGATCCCACGGACATTCCCCGAAAGGTTCTGGATTGGGAGAGGGTGCAGACCGGTCTGAGTGACCCGCCCCTCCTCTCCCCTCCCCTCCCCTTTTCTCCCCTCCCCGGGCATGAAGTCCATGCACTGGGCCCTAGAATATGTACATTGGTGTCAGAGAGGAAGGGAGAAGGAGAGGGAGACACAGCAGTGGTTCCTGGGTGGACGCTCACCACACGGCCTCCTGGGAGGCTTTCTCTTCGGGATCCGGTCCCGGCAGAGCTGCCTGTGGGCTCTGAGGGGAGCCAGGGCCCCGGGCTTCAGTCGGCTCCGTCAGGACAGAGCTCCCAGGGCCCCGCCGGCGCCCGCGGCCGTTGGCGGAGCGACATGCTGACCTGCCGGGCCCCCAGGTGGAGCTGGAGGTCACGCTGCCGGGCGAAGGGAAGGACCGCATCTTCAAGGTGTCCATCAAGTGGGTGTCCTGCGTGAGCCTGCAGGCCCTGCACGACGCGCTGTCTGGGCGGCTGCCCAGCGTCCCCTTCGAGACCATCCAGGCCCTGGACGTGGTCATGAGGCACCTGCCGTCCATGAGGTGAGCCGGCTTGTCTGAGGGAGCGCTTGTGTGCGTGCGTGTGCGCGCGCGCGCGTGTGTGTGTGTGTGCGTGTGCGTGTGCCTGTGTGCAGTCACAGCAGTGTCACAGGACATGTTTCATGGGAAAGAGATTCCCGGGGTTCCCAGCCCAGCAGGCCCCTCCCCGTGGGCGCAGCTGGTTTCCCTCTGTGGGCGGGAGCGCCGCGTGTCCCGCTTCCTGTGGCCTCACACAGGCTTGTCCGTGGAAGTGCCCGCACTCCCCACGGCGGGCGGCCCCGGAGGAGCCGTGGGCGGGGGCCGTGCGTGGCCAGCGTCTGCTCTGCTCCTGCTCACGTCCCGCCCGGCGCCCCGCCCCCCCGGCGCCCCGCCCTCCCCGAGGGAGGGCGGCTCGAGCTCAGCCTCTGCGCAGGTACACGCCCGTGGGCCGCTCCTTCTTCACCGCCTCCGAGGGCTGCTCCAACCCGCTGGGCGGCGGCCGAGAGGTGTGGTTCGGCTTCCACCAGTCCGTGCGCCCCTCCCTCTGGAAGATGATGCTCAACATCGACGGTGAGCAGCCGTGTCCCTGGCCGGTGGGCGGGCCGGGGCTGCGGCCGCGCAGGGCCGTGTCCCGGGAGGGGAGGGGTCTGCTGGGGGCTGAGTGGACCCCCCTGCCTGGCCCCCGTCCCCTGTGATTCTCAGACTGTGCCCAGGGGTCCCTCAGAGAGGCCTGCTCCCGGCGGGTCGGGAATGTTGGGGTGTCCGTCTCCGTGGTGACGGCCGCCTCCAGCAGCCCCTCAGGGAGGATGGGGCCGCCCGTGACCAGGCCCGAGGGTGGGCTTCGCGGTCAGCCAGGGCGGGCGGCCCGTCACCCTCTGCCCGTCTCCTCCCCTCCAGTCTCGGCGACGGCGTTTTACAAGGCGCAGCCCGTCATCGAGTTTGTCTGTGAAGTCCTGGATTTTAAAAGTATTGAAGAACAACAAAAACCTCTGACAGATTCCCAAAGGGTCAAGTTTACCAAAGAAATCAAAGGTGGGTGCGGGCCCGGGCCCGGGGCCGGGGGGCGGGGCCCCCAGGCGAGCGAGCCCTTCTCAGCCGGTGGTCACGCCTGTGGGCGCGGAGGAGGGCGACCGCCAGCGTCCACCCCCGAGGGCAGGCCCGCGCCCCCTGCTGGCCGTGGCCGGGCAGGCGGAGGCCTCCCTGGTGAGCCTGGGCTGGGCTGCCACCCTGAGGCTGCTCTGTCGCCAGGTCTGAAGGTGGAGATCACTCACTGTGGGCAGATGAAGAGGAAGTACCGCGTCTGCAACGTGACCCGGCGGCCGGCCAGCAACCAAACGTAACTGCTCCCCGGCCCCTGACCCCCCCGCCCTCCCTGCCCCCCCTGCACCCCCCCCCCGCACCCCCCTCCCCCACAGAGGCCCCGGCTCAGGGACTCGGAGGAAAGCGATCCATCCGGGGCCCCAAACCTCCGGTGGAAGGAACCCTGGGCTCCTCGGCCCAGCTCGGTGCTGAGATGCTGGGAGCCCGGGCTTCTCTCCCCTCCCACCCCCCAGTTCTTGGCGTGGCCCCATCTTAGCCATGAGCGGCCCTGGCTTCACTTCCAGCCAATCAGGGCCGTGGAGGGACCTCAGGCCGAGGGGTGGGCGCAGCCCCACCGCAGTCTCCTGGCCCTGTGGGTGCTGGGGCAGGGTCCCCCAGCCCCGCACCCCTCTCTGCCCTGCCCACCCACACCGTGGCCGAGGAGCCCGCAGACCTGGAGCCCCGGCAGTGCCCTCTGGGGGTCTCCGAGGGCGGTCCGTGCCCTGTGGCGTGTGGGCGGGGGTCGCTGCCGGGCAGGCGCCTGCGATGTGTCCCAGTTGCGGGGAGGGGGCGGGGCCTCGGGACGGCCCGGGGACGGGCACCCAGGTGACCCGGTGGGTGTGCCGAGGGCAGCCCAGCAGACGGCGCGCGCCCCCGTGCCTCAGCCGCGTCCCACGCCGCCTCGTCCCCAGGTTCCCGCTGCAGCAGGAGAGCGGGCAGACGGTGGAGTGCACGGTGGCCCAGTACTTCAAGGACCGGCACAAGCTGGTGCTGCGCTACCCCCACCTCCCGTGTTTACAAGTCGGACAGGAGCAGAAACACACCTACCTTCCCCTCGAGGTCTGCAACATTGTGGCGGGACAGAGATGTATAAAGAAGCTGACCGACAATCAGACCTCAACCATGATCAGAGCGACGGCCAGGTCGGCGCCCGATCGGCAGGAGGAGATCAGCAAGCTGGTGAGCGTCCCGGCCGGGCGGCCTGGGTGGGCGCCCTCCGGAGGCCAGTCCGTGCCGGCCCAGGGCCGGGGCAGACACCCTCACTCTGCCTGTCCCCGCCTTTGCAGATGAGGAGCGCGAGCTTCAACACCGACCCCTACGTCCGGGAGTTTGGGATCATGGTCAAGGATGAGATGACGGACGTGACCGGGCGGGTCTTGCAGCCGCCCTCCATCCTCTACGGGGGCCGGGTACGTGCACGGGCGGGGCCCGGGGTGTCCCCATCAGGGCAGGGTGGGCCCGGGATGTCCCCCATCAGGGTGGGTGGGGCCTGGGTGCCCCCCATCAGGGTGGGTGGGCCCGGGGTGTCCCCCATCAGGGCGCAGCAGTCGGTCAGCTGGATTTGCCCCCTGACCCCCAGATTTTAAATTTTTATTTATTTTTTATTGATTTATCGATTATGGTATCACATAATTGTCCTTATCCCCCCATTCCCATCCCAAACCCCTCCCCACGTACGCCCCCGCCCCCCGTTGTCCATGACCACGGTTAGGCTCACATGCATGTGACCTTCAGCTTTTATCTGTGCGCAAGCAAAGGCCTGACCTCCGAGCCACGGGCTCCTGCACGGTGCCCCCTCCTGGCGGCCGGTCCCTTGGTGCACGGCCGGGCGGGGCTGCGGGAGCCGCGAGCCTCCTCGCCGAAGGCCGTGTGCTCGGAGGGAGCCCCACCAGCAGGGGTAGATGTGTTTGTGGGTCTTTCCCTTCGTATGTTCAATGTTTTAAGACCCAGCAGGCAGCAAAGAGGTCGCAGGGAGAGGCCTCCTCTCCTCAGGGAGCCTCCCGGTGGCCTCTGCGTACCCCCTTCCTGTGCGGAAGCCGTGTTATTTCACGTCATTGGTAATTGGTCTCAGAGAGGAAGGGAGAGGGAGAGGTAGAAACACCAACGATGAGAGAGAATCGTTGATCACTGCCTCCTGCACGCCCCCTACTGGGGATGGAGCCCTCAGCCTGGGCAGATGCCCCCGCTGGGAATCGATGGAACCAGGCCGCCGGGCTGCAGTGAATGCGCCTGCCGCTTGCTCTGTTACTTGGTATTTCCCCTGGAGCCCGTAGGAGCCTTGGAGGTGGTTGGTGTAGAGGGCCAAATGGGAAGGCACCTGGACACTATAGATTGCTGCCGACTGGGCCCCTGACATTGACAGGACCATGTCAGGTGCACTCCGCCCTGGGAGTGCGGAGATGTTCTTAGTTCCTGGCTTGTGTTTGTCCAGGAGGAAGGAGTGGGTGGGACCTGGGCCCTCCCAAGCTCCTTGTTCTCCTGTGAAACCCCCTGTGGATTGGAGGATAAATAGTTATGCTGCTGGCTCAGGAGGTCCTCAGTCTGTCTCTCCAGCAGGGGGGGTCAGCGGCCCTCCCAGCTCCCAGCTTAAATCTATCTGTGTCTTCTCTCTTTATTTCTAACATTTCTCAATCCGGTTCATTCATCTCTTTCCGTGCGGGTCAAGGAAAAGGGAGATCCCAGCCATCAGGCCCCGTAGTTGCGTGTCTGTGTGACGTGTGTTGCAATAGCGTCCCTGTCACTCAGCCACTCCTCCATTCACCTCTTCATCCCTTCACCCACCCACCCACCCATCCCCCACCTCTCCCTCCACCCAGCCAGCCATCCTCCCACCCGTCTGCCCATCCATCCATCCGCCCATCCACCCCCTGCAGCCACCTGGGCCCTGCAGAGTGGGCGACACCGATTCCGTTCGGAGCCTCAGGAGCCGTCTGGCGGGGACAGAGGAGCCGGGCAGAGGACCGCGTTCCCGGGTCCTCACTCTGACCGTCTCCCGTTTGCAGAACAAGGCGATCGCCACGCCGGTGCAGGGCGTGTGGGACATGAGGAACAAGCAGTTCCACACCGGCATCGAGATCAAGGTGTGGGCCATCGCCTGCTTCGCGCCCCAGCGCCAGTGCACCGAGGTCCACCTCAAGTAAGCCGCGGCGCCGGCCGGCGGCGGGCGGGCGGGCGGGCGGGCGGGCGGGCGGCCTCCCCCGGCTCAGCCACAGCCACAGCCGCAACCAAGGTGCATGCCCCGACCGGTATCGAACTCGGGAGTCAAGCGGAGGCTGCGCCTAGGCCGGGCCTCCCCGGGTCTGTCCTCGGCCCCTTCCCTCTGCTCTGCGGGGAGCCGGTGTGCCCGCGGGCAGTGCCCCCGGGCCCCGGCCTGTGTGCGCCCGGAGCGGGCGGCTGTCTCAGGAAGCGGGGCTGAGCACGGCACCGCGTCCCTCTGCACCGCGTGTCACGGCCGGGGTGGGGGCAGCGCGGGGCCCGTTGGGAGTCTCCCGGGTTATTAGGGTGACTCCTCGGTGGCCTGTGGGTGCCCGGCTGACGGCCCCGTCCCCAGGTCCTTCACGGAGCAGCTCAGGAAGATCTCGCGGGACGCGGGCATGCCCATCCAGGGCCAGCCGTGCTTCTGCAAGTACGCCCAGGGCGCCGACAGCGTGGAGCCCATGTTCCGGCACCTCAAGAACACCTACACCGGCCTGCAGCTGGTGGTGGTCATCCTGCCGGGCAAGACCCCTGTCTACGGTAGGCGGTGGCGGCGGCGGCGGCAGCGGCGGGCGGGAGGGGCCGCGGCGTCCCGAGGGAGCCGAGATGGGGTGGCCCGGCTGGCTCTGAGGTCAGCCTGGTGGTAGCTGAGGATGCGCAGGCTTCCTGGGTGGTAGCCTGAGTCCTGGGCGCTGTGGGCGAAGATGGCATTCTGCCCCAGGAGTGCCAGCCCCTGGCTTCCAGCCGGGCTCTGCCCGTTTCTCCTGCCCGAGGGGTGAGGGCGAGGCTGGCGCAGAAACTTGAACCCAGAGGCTCTGACTTCCTGAGCCTGCCCGGCCGTCTCCCTGCCCGGGGCGCGGTGGGTGCGGTGGGCGCGGCGGGCGGGCGGGGCGGGCGGGGTGAGAGCTCCTGAGGGGCCGGACAGCCGCCTGAGCACCCGCCCCCGCAGCCGAGGTGAAGCGCGTGGGGGACACGGTGCTGGGCATGGCCACCCAGTGCGTGCAGATGAAGAACGTGCAGCGGACCACGCCGCAGACACTGTCCAACCTCTGCCTCAAGATCAACGTGAAGCTGGGCGGCGTGAACAACATCCTGCTGCCGCAGGGCAGGTGAGCCGGCGCTGGCACTGTCCCGGCTCCTGACGGCTCGTGCGTGGACGAGAGGCGGGCCTGGGGTGCAGGGGCGCTCGGGGGGCCTGTGGCCCGGCCCGGCCATGAGCACAGGGATGGAGACCGCTCGGGGGTGAGCAGCTGGCGTGCGCGGCGAGGCCAGCACAGGGCGAGCGGAGGCGCTGGGAGAGCCGTGCGGAGGGACAGTGGGCGGAGGGCCCTCGGCAGGGGCTGCAGTTGGAGGTTCGGGGTGAGCAGGGCCCGGCTGGCCTGGCTCCCAAAGCACAGTGGGCTCTGGAGCCCCGGCCGGAGCTCCTGGCACCCGGAGGCGGGGCCTCGGAGACCAGGGTCTGGCTGAGGGGAGGAGGGGCTCCAGGATGACTCTGAGGTCCCGGGCCGCGGGGAGAGAAGGCAGTGTTGGTCGTGAGGACGCCTGGAGGCTGGGGGTTGGGGTCGGGGTCGGGGTGGGGGTCGGCCTCCAGGGGAGACGGGGTGGAGGTGGAGTCTGGGGTCAGGGATGCTGGTTGCAGGGCTCCTGCTGTGGAGGTGGGACTTGGAGCCCAGGCTGCTGGGAACCCTGGGGAGGGTGCAGACAGGAGGGAAGTGGGGGCCTGGGGCTAACGGTCGTGGAGGTCAGGGGTCAGGAGCTGGCAGTGGAGCCTGAGAAGGGAGGGGAGGGTCAGTGTGCGGGTCCTGACCCCAAGGTTTGTCCTGAGGCTGCGCTGGTGGCGTGCAGGTCCCTAGTGACCTTGCAAAGAGGAGTCTGTTGCCATGGCAGCGTGGGAGGCGGTGTGCCCCGCCTGCTGCTTCTGGAGCTTTGCGGTGCGGGAGGGAGGGAGGGAGGGAGGGACGGAGCGTGGGAGGAGCGTGGAGCCTGTGGCGGGTTTGCGTCTCAGCGGCAGTGGGTGCTGTTGGGAATGTTCCAGAACTGGGGTGGGCGCAACAGTGGGGCGCAGGGTGTGGGTGCAGGCGGGAGGCAGGCTGCAGGAGGGGGCGGGGCCTGTGCTCCCGCTGCTGCTCACAGCCGCCAGCGGCGGGGCTGGGGACAAGGGGGGTTGGTAGGAGGCCTTCTAACCCCGAAGCTCAGGCCGGGCAGTGGGCAGGCGAGCGGGGCGCCGGCCGGCCCCTCTGTACGGGGGGGGGGGGGGGTTGAGCAGTGTCCAGTGGCCGCGGGTCCCTCGCCGGGGAAGGGGTAGCACGCAGCCTCTGATGTCCGGGGCAGAGCTGCCGTGGTTAGACACGCGGGCGCGGATGGGGCTTGCCCACGTCGGGGCCCTGAGGCGGCACCCCCTTCCCCCGCCTCTGCTCGGCGGCCTCAGTGCTTGGGCGTGCTGCCGGGCCCCCAGGCGCTCTGTGGCTCCGCTGCCGGGCGGTGCCCGCGTCCGGTGGGGCAGGAAGTTCGGGAGGCCGTGCCGGCAGTTCCCACCGGTGAACGGTGTGCCCAGAGGGACCCCCGCCCCGTCCGGCCTCAGCGGCTGCCCCCGCCCCCTCCCCACGGGTTCCCCGGAGCTCAGGCGGCCGTTGGGGGAGTCGCTCTGAGTGTGTGGCTGAGAGCACCGCCCAGTGCACTGGCCACCCAGGGGCGTGCCCAGCCTCGGCCTCAAGCTCTCTCCTCCCGCAGGCCGCCCGTGTTCCAGCAGCCGGTCATCTTCCTGGGGGCTGACGTCACGCACCCCCCGGCGGGGGACGGGAAGAAGCCGTCCATCGCTGCCGTGAGTGCTGCTGCCCCTGGCCTGGGGGACACACGGGGAGGGGACACGGTCCCGTAGCGGCCAGACGGCCAGGCCCTTCCGCACACCGAGAAGCAGTGAGAGGGCGTGTTCGCACGGGCTCGCACCCAGCCTGCTGCTCCTGGGCCGGCCGCACTCGGGGACCGAGGCTTGTGGCCCCTGTTCTAAAGCGTGTGCACGGCCTGAGCCACACTCAGTCCTCGCCCTCCTGCCCCGGCCGCCGCGCCCGCCTGCCTCGGGCAGGCGCGCAGTCCGGGGGCAGGTCCCTGAGGGCCTGGTGGGGCGCGGGGGCCGCCTGGCCGCCCTGCTGCTATCGGTCCGGAGCCATTGGGCGTTCCCTCCGCTCCGCGCCGGCCCAGGGTCAGTCTCCTCCTCTGCCCGCAGGTCGTGGGCAGCATGGACGCCCACCCCAACCGCTACTGCGCCACGGTGCGGGTGCAGCAGCACCGCCAGGAGATCATCCAGGACCTGGCGGCCATGGTGCGCGAGCTGCTCATCCAGTTCTACAAGTCCACGCGCTTCAAGCCCACGCGCATCATCTTCTACCGCGACGGCGTGTCCGAGGGCCAGTTCCAGCAGGTGGGCCGCCCGCCCGCCCGCCCGGCCGGCCGCGGGGGTACGGGCGGGGCTCCCGAGGCCAGCGGGCCCCCTGGCTCCGCCTGCGCAGAACCCGGGCCCTCTCCCTGTGCTCCCGGCCTCCTGAGGGCCGGCCGCACCACACAGCCGTCAGCGCACGGCGCCTGCCGGGCCGGGCCGGGCCGGAGGTCTCTGAGGACAGACGGTGCTCCCGCCCTGGTGCCGACCCCCGGGGCGTCTGGGCAGCCAGGCTGCGAGGTCGATGGTCCCATCTTACAAGTGAAGACCGGGATCGGAGCGGGCGCCTGCTCTCCCGCAGCCCCTCGGCCGCCTCGTGTCAGAGTGGGGTTGGACTTACTGGCTCCTAAGCCAGGTCTCCTCGGCCACCCCCTCTGCTCCAGACGAATGTGGGTGGCTGGGGCGGCCTGTGTTGTGCTGCCCACGACCTGTGGCCCTCACACAGCACACAGCCCTCCGCAGCCCGTGCTCAGCTCTGCGCCATCTCCTCACACTGGCCATGCGGCTGGCTGTCAGCCTCCATCAGCCCGGCACAGGCTCCGACAGGCAGAGGCTGCAGCTGGTGCCGTGTCTGGCGTCCCTCGGTGCTGTGTCCTGGCAGCAGCCCTGAGGCCCGGCCTGACGCCCTGTCCCCGCAGGTGCTGCACCACGAGCTGCTGGCCATCCGCGAGGCCTGCATCAAGCTGGAGAAGGACTACCAGCCGGGCATCACCTTCATCGTGGTGCAGAAGCGGCACCACACGCGGCTCTTCTGCACCGACAAGAACGAGCGGGTGCGTCCCCGTGCGGCCGGGCGTCGGGAGCGCCGCCCCCTCGGTGACTCCCCGATCCGCGGGGACGGGCTGTGGTGACCGTGCCGGGAGGTGGCTCTGAGAGCCGTGGGCAGTAGCCTCAGCGGCGGCCGGTTCAGTGTCTCGCTCACTCTAAAGCACTGAGCGGGCCGTGCGGGGAGGCCCGGCTCGGTTGGCGGGCGGCTGGCTGATGCTCCTGTGTCCCTGAAGGTCGGCAAGAGCGGGAACATTCCAGCAGGCACTACCGTGGACACGAAGATCACCCACCCGACCGAGTTTGACTTCTACCTGTGCAGCCACGCTGGCATCCAGGTGAGGGCAGGGCCCAGCAGACACGGGCGGTGTGCCCTCGGGCGGCCACTCTGGGCACGGGATCCAGCTGTGGTCAGGGGCTGCCGGGAAGCTGGTGCACCGGTGGGCAGGGTCCCCGGGCCTGGCACTCGGCAAGCAGGGAGGACTCAAGTGACGAGGAGGGCGGGGAGGGACAGGTGGTGAGGACGAGGGGCTGCCTGGGCGAGCTCACACCCCATGGTGGGGTCCATGCGTGTCACCCCCACAAGTGTGTGCTGGGCGCCTGCGGAAGTGTCTCTTGGCAAACAGGGTGGTCCCAGGGGTCGCCAGCCGCCCAGCACACGGACTCGGGTCTGAGGCTGAAGGGCCTGAGTGACCCTCCCAGGAGAAGGCGGCCTGACCCTGAGATTCCCTGTGAACGTGGCAGCTGGACAGTTTCTGGGGATGGTGCTGCCGTCGCCCCTCAGCGCCCCTCGGGCCTGCTCTCTGCCCGGCACTTTTGGGGGGACGTTCTGGGCTGAGACATCAGGGCTGGAGGGGCAGGCCCCCTGGCGCAGACCGCCCCGCTGCCCCCCAGTGGCACAGTGGGGTGGGCAGGGACGGGACGCCGGTCTCGGGGCCTAGCACAGGTGAGCAGCAGCGGGGCCGGCTGCACAGGCGGCAGCTGCGCGTGTCCGCGCCGGGGCAGAGGCTCCGGCTCCCGCCCCCTCAGTTCCAGAGATTCCAAGCTGCACGCACTGCATAGACGCGCGTGTGCCAACTCCCTCCACAGTGTCAGCGTGTGGTTTGAGAGGTTTTTCTCGCCCGTAAAAAGGTGGTTGTAGAAATGGCCTGAATGGGTGGTATGTCCTCAGAACAAACGTTTTCCGGCGTTTTCCTTTCTGTGACGTGCATCTGAGTAAGTGTGTGCGGTCTGTGTTCTCACGCCTGATGAATACATCTCCCGGTGCCTTTCACCGTGACCGTAATACCGCGCTGTCTGTCGCGTTGACTCCGGGTCCTCGGAAGGAGCGTGCGAGCGTGAGCAGCTGGGCTCGGCCTGCTGGCGGCCCGCAGGTGAGTGCTGCCGCCTCTGACCCGCGGTCTGCTTTCAGGGAACAAGCAGGCCTTCCCACTACCACGTGCTTTGGGATGACAATCGTTTCTCTTCCGACGAGCTGCAGATCCTCACCTACCAGCTGTGTCACACCTACGTGCGCTGCACGCGCTCTGTGTCCATCCCAGCGCCAGCGTACTACGCTCACCTGGTGGCCTTCCGGGCCAGGTACCACCTGGTGGACAAAGAACACGACAGGTGAGTAGAGGCCTCTCCTGGCCCCGGGTCCCAGCAGGGCTGCTTCCGAAACAGGTTGTGGCCGCTGCTTTCCCCGCAGGGAGCAGCCGGAGCCAGCAGAGGCCGGGGTGCCCGAGCCCAGCGCCTTGGCTGCTACCTGTGAGCAGCGTCCGTCGTGGGTGGCCCCGGCCCGGCGTGGGGACGTGGCCCCGGCCCGCTGACCGCTGTCTCCTTCCCTCCCCCAGTGCTGAAGGAAGCCATGCCTCCGGGCAGAGTAACGGGCGGGACCACCAGGCGCTGGCCAAGGCAGTGCAGGTCCACCAGGACACGCTGCGCACCATGTACTTTGCTTGACGTGTTGTGTTTACGATTGTGTGGGGAGTCGGATTCACACGAGACCAGCGACACTCAGACCAACCGACGCCAGCCCCGCGGCAGCCAGCACTGGACCCAGACGTCGTGGACTCAACCGAGGCTCCTCCCAGAATGCCTTCCGTCCGGACTCCACACTCGTCCTGAGCTGCAGACCTGTATGAGACCCGCTGTCGCCGGAGCTATGGTTTGCCAAAATCTGTCCGCTGCTCATTAAACAGTCCCGTGTTTTCTAAAACATCTCCTAAAAGCAGTCTATGAACTCAGGGCTTTAAAACATTTTTAATTTATTTGGTCATTCGATTTACTTGTTTTTAACACGTGATTCTGTATGGAATTGATGGGCTCAAACTAGCTGGGAGCGTGCTCTGAGGTGAAAGCAACGCAAACACTATTGTGGTTTTAAAGCCTTGACCATTCTGACGTCGTCACTAACACGTGCTCCACGCGACACTCGTGTGCCCTGACGTGGCTCCGCCAGCTCTTAGGGGCCCGCGTGGGCGCCCACCGCAGGGGAACGGGGCTGGGTCACCAGAGGCCACGCCCACTCGACATTTCTAGGTCCTGAGAGATTGGCAGCCAAGTGCCATTTTAATAAAAATTTATTAAAAAAAAGAAAAAAGAAAAAAGATGGTATGCCGACAGTCTAAGGGTGAGCTCGGTCCGCTCGGACTGACATTTATTCTCCAAAGTTGTAAAGAATACGGGTCTGGTGATGGTACCGTACAATCCTCTCACTGTTGTCTGTAATGTAAGAATACGTGTATCTGGCTGCAGTATTAACGAGCGCGGCTGTGCTCGGCTCCGCCTCGGTCCTGCTCGGCGTCCTCGGCCCGGAGGCCGCCCGGTCTCGGCTCCGGCGCAGTGCGCGGCGGACTCTTGACAGCAACAGCGCTCACTCGCCGCCCACCCCCTGTGCGGCCACCCATGAAGCACAAGTGGAATGGACGGGCCTTCCGCCCCGGAGGCCGTCCCTGTGCTGGTGTCGTAGGATCTGGGCGCCGAGACCCAGGAAAGCCGTCGGCGGGCTCTGCCGGCGCCTTTTCCCGGAGGGCGGCTGGCGGCCGCCAGCGTGATGGCCAGACCCTGCAGCGGGCACCTGCCCTGCGGGCCGGGCGCGGGCGGCCGCCCCAGAAACCATTGCACTAAGGGATGCCACGGCCCAGCAGCGGCTCTTGCTGCGTGGCTCTGCCGGCAGCGTTCTCTCCAGGGTCCGCCACGCTCAGTGTGGACTCGAGGAAGGAGACGGCCTTCCATGCTGCTTTGTGCTGTTTCCTGTCCCTGCTGACGGCCGCCCCGCCCGCCCACACTTACCTCTGGCGCCGTGGTGGGGTCCCAACAGGGCTGCCTCCCCTGGCGTGGGCGCCCACCGTGTCCTGTCTGCTCCGAGCGGGGGACGGGGAGTGTGGGCTCCCTGGACACGGCCAGTGGCGGCGGTGCCGGGGCGGGTGTGTTGTGAAGCTGTCTACGCTGAGTGGCGTGTGCGTGTGCGTGGCGTGTGCGTGTGCGTGTGGTGTCCCTCAGTGCTGTTGTCTCTTCTTGCTGTATCTCGTCTGTTCAAACGACAGAAGCCTTTGCTCTGAGAAACGTCGCGGCTCCCTGTCCTGTTGGCAAGTGGCACTTTCTCCGCTCGGACCCCGCCTGCTCCTGGCCGTCCAGGCCTCCCCGCCCAGGAGGGACCTTCACCCACACGCTCTCACGTTGGCCGGTTTCCAGCTGCTTTGAGGACCGTTGAACCCTGTTTGCTTCAAAGGAGTTTGTCGCACGTGGACGGGATGGTGTGGTGCCGGCTCCCGGCCTCGCCATGGCCTCCGGCCAGGCTGCCTGACCTTGGGGACCCCGTCTAGAGCCTGGGAAGGGCCGCTGGCCATGAAGCTCTAAGCTGAAACCTGGCAGAAAACGACCCTGGATCCTCACAGATTGCTTCGTGGCAGCATTCTCTTCTCGGCGCCACCGCACTTTCCTCCCTCAGCCTGTGCTCGTCTGTGACCGCTCCCCTGACGGCCCGCCCGCCCGCAGGGCCCTGCACCCGCCTCCGCGTCCGATGGCTGAGACAGCGTCCCCCACTCCAGCCAGTGCCCTCGGCGGACAGATGGTGAGAGACGGCGGAAGGCCGGGGCAGTAGAATCATCCAGGCCCCGATCATTTGGAAGTCGGAGGGGGCCCCGGCTGTCCTCTGACTGTCAACCCCACCGGGGGCCACCTCAGCTCGGCCGAGGAGGGCACCCCATTGGCTGGCTGCACCCCGACCCACTGTGTAAGGTGTGCCTTGCTTGAAGCAAACTGAATGTGAAATGAAATGTAGAAGTCGGGGTTCGTGTCAAAGGAAACCTGGGACTTGTCTCGTCTCTGAAAGCTCTCCCGGCGAGACCCGGCACGGGGACCTCCTGGCTGTCCAGGACGCACGGGGAAAGGCGGGGCCTGGCCATGCTCCGCGCTGTGCCCGCGGGTGCATGCTGTGTGCGCGCTTCCCGGTGCCGGCGTTCTGCCTTCTGCTCTGGTGTCTGTCCGTGTGGTGCCCGGCGTGTGTGGCACCGGGTTGTCAGCTAGAAACCATTTCCCAGCATGTCTGCGTCGTCTAATGTTTACCTGAGGCTTGCCGGCTGATTTATGTTTGAAAGCCACAAATGTAAGTTTCTGGGTGAATTGTTTTTCTTACACATGCAGCGATGTGACGCACACCGCTCTGTTTCCCGGTCAGATTCTATATTTGATGCCGTATGTGAAGGGCTGGCCAGCCAGGCGCCGTGCGGGTGGGACCGGGGCTGTGGGGCCGGGACGGCTCCGAGCCCCGGGCCCCGGGCGCTGGGCTGGGCTGGGGGCTCAGCGGGACTGAGTGGATGGACAGTTACAGGATTTTCATGGGCATTTCCTCTCACGAAGGCGGTTCCCTGTGAGGAACTTTAGAAGTTGGCACGACCCCGACTGTGGACAATCCAGGGGCCCGGACAGCCATAGACACTCCGTGGCCTCTGACTCCTCTCCCCGAGAAAGGAATGTACGTGGAGCAGCTTCCTCGTGTTTGTGCGCTCGCTTTCAAATGCAACTCTTTTATTTATGTTTTACCCGCCCCAGCACGGCTGTCGCGTGGCTGCGCGGCGTGTCAGCGTGGGCGTCACGTGGCGGCCTCGCCACGGGGCTGTTCTCATCACACACACTCTGTTTTGTAAGGAAAACTTTTAGCTAAAATAATTGCACTGATAACCTCCTTCTGTAATTATGTCCGGCCCGCGTCTGCTGTGCTTGTCTGGCTGGTTGTAAGCGGGTCTGGGTCGTGGAAGCCGCCGGAACCGCGTGGCCCGGAACGCCGTGCCCGTGCTCTGAGCGGCTCCCGCCTGTGCCGCGCTGGGTCTCCTTTCCTGAGGAGCCGCACCTGGAGGGGCGTGTGCTCCGGGGCCGCAGGGGGCCTCGTAAGAGGTTTGCTGGGTCCGGTGTTTGCCGGGAGCCCAGGCGCACGGGGCCCAGCGGAGAGCAGACGTGTGTGGGGTGTGTGTGTGTGTGTGTGTGTGTGTGTGTGTGTGTGTGCGTGTGGGGGGCCCGTGTTCGGCGAGAGGGCCGCCTCCAGGCTTCTCTGGTCGGCCGTCTGTGAAGCCACAAGGTCACGGCCGTGTTTGCCAGGTGAGTCCGGTTTGCTCGCACCCCCTCCCGGTGGGAATCTGCTTGTGGTCAGGCCGCCCGGAGTCTCCTGCCAGGCGGCCTCCTGGTGCGTGCGATGCCGTCGCAGGGCCCTCACCCAGTGCTTTGTGGGTACGTTTCACCATGTGACTGTCCCCAGTGAATGTATTGGCTTAGCCAGCTTACTGCAGAAGGTGGTTCTAAGTACCTTTTAGTTTAAAAAAAGCAAATGCAGATAAAGGCTACCTCTGAGTTCTCTGTAGGTTCGTGTTTGCTCTTAGCCTCACCGTTCACATTGAAAATAGCCAAACATCTCCCCGTAGACTGTGAGCACCTCCGTTCAGCACTGGCGTGGCCGGAGCGTGTCCACGTGGCCGGGGCTGGCCCGCTCCGAGGAAGAACGCACATCCTCCTGCCTTACCCACGGCTGGGTTGGAAAGGCGCCCTCTGCTCCCACCGCCTCCTCACCGCCTCTGTGAACTCACCAAGGGCTTGGACCCCACTTCCCATAAACCCCACTGCAGGCACGCCAACTGACCTTTGACCCTGAGCCTTGTGCTCCCGTCACTCCCTTCTGAGAAGGAGCAGAGGCTGAGTCCGGGCCGTGTGGGGGAGGCATGCAGGCGCCGCGGGGTCGAGAAGTGGGCGTCCCACTCCCTGGGTCGGTCCCTGCCCACACGGCCGGGGTCAGCGGCACCTCTGCCCCTGGCTCTTTCCTTTGGGTCCTCGGGGTGAGTGAGTGCTGGCGAGCGGCGCTGTCCGGCGGGGAGGATGCCCTGGGCGTCTGAGCGCGGTGCCCGGCCTGTTCCAGGGCTTCACGCCTGGGAGAGCTGAGCCCTTCGGTCCTCAGGACGTTCCCACTGTCCACCCGAGGGGTGTGGGGTGCCCGCTGGCCGCGTCTCATTTTCAGCCAGGACCCCACCCGGTGTTTCCGGGTGCCTGCACAGCAGACCCTGCTGGATCGGCCGCGGGCACTGGCAGCGGGATCTGCCATCAGCCTTGGTGCCCGGGTCCCCAGAATCAGGACCCCCGCCCCCCAACGTGTGTGTTCCTGAAAGTGGTTAAGGAGAGGACGAAGACCACTGGTGCTTTTGTTAACACTTTTCTCTCTGCCTGGGCACTGAGTATTAGACGTGAGGTCGGGAGTGTCCTGGGCGGTGGCCCGGGGGAGGCCGCATCTCACCCATCTCCCCGGTTCCGGGCTGGTCAGCGCTGTGCCCCCGTGGAGCTGAGCGTGCAGAGCGGGGCTGACGCCCGGCACTGACTTCCCCCGAGGCCCAGCTCCTCTGACTCTCCATGGTCCCCACACCCCCGGGCCGGGTGCGCTGCGGGCCCCTGTGGGACCCGAAGCTCCCTGGACCCTGGAG